GTCTGTTAATAAAAGCATTATTTATGTATTTATAATTTTGAACCATGTTTATGCAAATTTTTGTTATGCCACTTAATATAAATTTAAACAACATAATTTTGTTAAATTTTCGGCTAAAAATATCCGATAAACACTAAGATGCGAATAAAATTAATCCAAATGAATTACTGAACAAATGCAAAAGATGAAATATTTGAAAAAGAAATTAATTTTAGAGTTGTGCAATATGCAGTTTAAAGTTTCGTAAATGGAAATGATTAGATTTTATGTAATTTTTATTATTATTTTACTATTATTGAATATAGGCGGATGCAACATTACTGCATTCTCAAATTTTAGAGAAAATGAGGTGAGTTGATCAATGAAAAAAATGTGACCCATAACTAATCGAACCAGCGACTATTATGTTAGTAAATCAACTATTATTACACCAGTGCTCTTACACTGTTCTAAAATGTGATGATTCTATTGGTATTTTTCTGCGAAAATCTGAATCCCTAGGGTAATGAATCAAGGATTTATAAACCACAAGTATGTGAGTACGTTATTTTATAAAAGTTAAACGGCGTTTACTTAAGTACATTCTCGTCTCTTGACGAACACAGGAGACTTATGTTTTCGTACTCTAGGGGCCATCAAACTTAGTTTCGTACCTCAATTATTTATGAAATTTTCGCGAAGTTCACCACTTTAAATCCTAGGATAAACATTTTCGATTTTTTCTGTCGGAATGAGATACATATAGTAAAAGCAGGTTGTGTCGAAGAAGCTACTTTTTACTGTAAATCGAGTTTTATAAGCAGAATACATTGGTGAAAATCGCGTTCCGAAATTTCTATAAATCATTGAGATATTGATTTTTAAATATACATACTCCTATGTGACGAAAAATTGAACCAAAATTTTAAAAAGAAAATTGCCCCATAGAAAAAGTTGTGAAAGGTTATATTTAAAAAAAATTTAACAATGAGTCTGTTAATAATAGGGATGTTACATTCTGAAAATGTATTGAAAATCTCATAACGCAGGGACTCCTCTTCGTATTTTTTTTTAGATAATTTAAAAGGTATTAAGAAAAATTGATTCATTTTTTTGCCAACAAACTGCTACTGCTTGATCAGTTGATTCATAATAATGGTAACGAATGAAATTCCATAATTACGAGTACATACTCAAAATGGAAATAGATTTGTCGAAAAAATTGCTCTGAAGTTGCCCCCGAAGCACAGTTCATTTTTTTAGATAAGCATAATCTAAGGAAGTTTTGTGATCATGACTTTCATGTTTTCTTGACGTTTCATGACCTCTACAGTTCGAAAGAGTAGATCGCGTATTTTTGTCTGTCGGTCGTCTGTTTGCGTCGATTCTGATTTGATTAGACAAAAACATTGTTTATGTATGTAAAATGCTAATCAAAATTTGGCTAATGCACACTAACAATTTCACGTGTCCTCATATTTTTTTTTAGTTAAGGCGATGTAAATTTTACAACATACTACTGTACTTGTGGTTTATGAATCCGCCTTGTTTTTTCTACGCTAGGCATCCAGATTTTGGAAAAAAAAACGAAATTACATCGTCACATTTTATACCAGCATACGACGTAGGGTGTAGTCAGTGGTCGCATCGTAAAAATATTGACTCATGCCAGTTTTTTTAATATTTGAGTATAATTATAATTAATAATTAATAACTTTAGCAGCCTTTACAAATTCTAATTTTTTATGATAACTCCTCTACGTATCATAAAAAACTAGTCGAAGGTGATTTCGTCAGAACTTCCCTCATCTCTGACGTATAGTCCAATAAATCTTGCTTCTTTGAAAAATTATAAGATTTAATTTTGCGAAATTTTGTTTGTGGTAACACATTAAAAAATATATACCTAACAGTAGTAATAGTGTAAGAAAGAAAGTCCATGAGACAATTGAAAACGCGAAGTTCATGTTACAACTTGGAAGTCGTCTACAATAATCACTGCGCTATTAAATATTACACCGGGTGTCTGGAAAATGGCGGATTAACTCTCCGCTACGCTCTTAACAATCAACTGGTGAGTCTGGGAAATATAGTAAAAAAATACTTTTCACAGTTTGTTTAAAATTTTCGCAGTTAATTTTAGGTCCCCTGGTGTTTTATTTTCGGATAAATTTAAAGAAATCTATGTTTTGTTGCTGGATGAACTTCAAAAAAATCTTTTGAGCTTTTAGTGTTTTATTTTTTATAAATTTGGAAAGTCTTGAGTACCGCAGTGCTTACACTTAATATTATTCATTTACCAAAATCAGTCTTATCTTAAGAAATACTAACTCCGCCCACCCACCCTCTGTTTCTTAGAGGGTAATTTGTTTGGGACAATCAGTCTTATCTTAGCAAGTACTGGCTCCGCCCATCCACCATTTGTTTTCTTAGAGGCTAACGATTTTATTTTTGTTCGGTATGAAATCCACCTTTCATTCGGACCAGATAAAATGAATGACTGAAATGAAGACGGGGTGGGTGCGCGTGGTTGATTATATGTTTTTTTGTAGAGTGAGAATGGGAACAAATAAAATGTAGGCGCTAATCGTAATTTTTTGTTATACTATTTGTTATAAGATTTATTTCTTATTTCATAAAAAAAAAATAAGAGAACGGGTGGGTGGGCGGGGCTAAGTTTTAGTTTTTCTCAGAGAGTCTTTTATAAGCTGGTAATAGCCCCGCCCACCAGCCCTGTGTTTCTTAGAGGGTAATTCGTTTGCCACAATCAGCCTTATCTTAGCAAGTACTGTTTTACTATGTGCAGACTTCTTTTCACAACATGAAACTTAAAACATGTTTAAAATGGAAAATTTGTATCAAGAAATATCAATTTTGCAATTAGGCTCCGCCTCATTTTAACCATGTTTTAAGTTTTTGTTGTGAAAAGATTTTTGAGGACCCGGGTGGGTTAGGTAGCTTCGTGCTTACCCGCTACGCCTTGGGTCGTGGGTTCGATTCCCGCCCGGTTCTGGGTGTTGTGTATGTCTCCCGTTCCCCTGTAATTGGGCCACTGGCCTGTAGGGGAACGTAATCAAATAATAAAAAAAAAGATGGCCATGTATATTTAAAAAAGCCAAAATATAATAATTATATATATATATATATATAATAATTTAGTTAAATACTCATTTGCCAAAATCAGTCTTAACCCCACCTGCCCTCTCTTTTCCTAGCTAGAGTGTCATTGGTCAACATCGGTCTTATTTTAGCAGATGCTAGCCGCGCCCACCCGCCCTCTCTTTTCTTATAGGGTATGTCATTTGCCTAAATAGATCTTATTTTAGCAGGTACTCACCCCTCCCACCAGCCCTGTATTTTCTTAGAGGGATCTCATTTGCCAAAATCAGTTTCATCTTAGCAAGTATTAGCCCCGCCCAACCACTCTCTCTTCTGTTAGAGGATATGTCATTTGTCAAAATCAGTTTTATCTTAGAGGGTATCTCGTTTGCCAAAATCAATCTTATCCTGGCAGCTACTAGCCCCGCCCACCCACCCTCTCTTTTCTTAGAGGGTATGACATTGCCAAAATCAGCTTTATCTTAGCGAGTACTGATGATGACTAACTTTTTCAAAAAAATTATCAAAATTTGAAAACATGACGCGCTTACTTATATGCATAAGACAGGAATTTTGAACATCTTCTCTAGTAATTATGCTTTAATGAATTTTTCTGTTGTTGGTTTTATTTTTGTTTATAATTTATAAATGTCTATATTAAATGTTTTTTTCGGCTTTTTATTATTAAAAAATAACAGCTTGGTGGATTTCAGTCACCAGCGTTACTAAGAAATCAGAAAGTGAGCCGCAGGTATTCATACATTAGGTGCTGGCAGTGTTCCCAAAATTTACATTTATAAAATTACGTTTTTCGAAATCTACATCATAAAGATTTTTTATATATATTAACACAATTTGTTAACGTTTTACCATTTATACGCTATTCATAAAATACATATAAAATCTAAGAACAACCGGTCCAGTAGTTTTAGAGATTGTCTATCATAAAATCGACTCAGACGGATACCAGAGAAAACACGAAAATAGCCATTCACCGGATGGACCCTATTACAATACTTACGGGAAAAACCGTAATCAAAGGAGCACATTTCTCTTTATTAAAGTTTATCATGGCATCACCAAGTTTTGGGAATTAATGTAAATATGAATCCTGATTAACGATTTACCAAATTCACGATAAATCTAAAGCGAATGCAAAGTTTTAAAACAACCGGTTTTGTGGTTTCTAATAAGTTAAATAATAACATTTTGTTGAAGAATGTTGTCGTTTTTGAATTTGCATACATAAGGTAAAATGGGTTGGAATAAAATAATAAATAAATCACAGATATAGGTACATGAATACTCTTTTTAAATGAAAATTACTATGCAAAATTATGAGATGAGGTCATCAATTTTTGATGGGGATATTCAGACACACTTTGATTAGGGTTTCACCATCCACACGATATTCTTAAAGTACATCTAAAATTTCAGAGCCATCAATGCAGTGTTTCGGAGATTATTATCTGCCTGATAAAATTGACAACAAACGACAGACAAACAGACAGACGGACAGACGGAAAGGCGAGATCAACATAAAATAAATTAACTTAAAAACTTGGTATCTATCAAATGTACAAAGTACTTTGTAATTTTAATTCATATCTACCCTTAGAACCCAACTAGTTACAAAATCTATTCAAAAAGACAAGAGGTAAGTTTAATAATTTGTTAACAATAATATAATAAAACAGAACACTGAAAATTTACGCAACATTTGTCAAACTTTTATATTACAACAGGAGGAGAAAAAACAAACTCATCAATAGTAAACAAATAAAAATAACTCAGATTAATTTGCACGCAACATTATTCCTAATCGTGAGACAGGTGGACACAAACGTAAAAAATATGATAAACCGTGGTTTCAATATTTTTGTTTACAAAGTTTAATCGAGACATAGTTTAGATGTTCTTACCCATTTTTCCAGGTATAATATCAAATTGAGTAGGTCCATCTTGCACAAACCCTGGCCTCGCGCACAGGTCCTGAAAAACAAGCAGGTGTTAATTTTTCGAAATTTTTTGAATAATTCAAAGCTCTGGTGGGATGGTTAAAATATGTTCCACCAAGGTTGGATAATTGTATTCATAATGTATTGTTTCTCGTTGCACCCACATCTGTGTGTTACGTGGGGCATACAGAACCCGACATTCCGTTTGGCACGTGAGCGCTTTAATAATTTGGGTGCATTTATGGTGACTTGGACGTGCGGTCAGGCCACTAACCTCGCACATCAACGGTGTTATTAGCCATTTCACGCTTATTCAATAGCGCATTTCATCGAGCTCGGATGGGAGTCGAAATTCTAACTCCGTTGATGCGAAGTGGTCAATAAACGAATCGTATTTCAAACAGTCATTACGTCGCCATTCACAAGAATAATACAATAAAAAGACCTTCTGTAGAGGTAGAAGTTTTTATTACTGTTAAAAGTGAACGTCCGTTCTTGCCCACGCTTGAAAACCCACGATACTTGCAACAAATCTACAGCAAACCCACAAAATCTCATATTATCGAAACTTGTTTGAGTCAGGATCCTTTTTCATAGAGCGTCTATCATTTGCCGAAAGTGGTGTTATGCAACTGCTACACTTGATGATTTGAAATGTACTTACTCCGGCGAGTTGTAAAATCGAAGCGGTTAAAAATGTTTACAGATTTATTAACACCCGATGATCTTGAACTTTCGCAGATTCGAATAAATCTGATTTAATGCTGAATTCCTCTCATGTTCAGCGCTTTGAAATTCAAGAAGGGAATTAAGTTTGATTTTGTTCCATGCTGTGATCGTCAGGATTAAAATAAGATGAGAGAGACTTTGCAGTGGTTATTATCTACTGACACTGCAAATAACTTTAAACGAGAACCAACAGGAGAAATAAAAGGAATAAATTTACTTCCACTACCTTAAGTTGCTGGCCGTTAATAGCCGACTTACAGACTGCATTCTCTTAGAGAGCGTTTATAGTTTATTGTAATGAAAGAGATTGTTTATAAAATATAAAACGAGTACCATCAGCACTATCTTCCATTCAACTGTAACAAAGACTTCTCGCTGATCACCAACACATTGTGATATCACTGCAGCAAGACACAACCGAAGGGTCATCCTGTCAAGCCTCGCAAGAAAATATTTATTTATGTCTCTTAAAGATACGTTTGAGTGTGTGATTGGTATTCAGATACACTTCACTATTTTTTAGTTTCTCTTCTCTGTTAACTATCTTACAAGCATAAATTGGATTTGATTGGGCGCTTCGGGCACATTCCGTTTCATTTTGCACGACGGGAAATTTAATTACGAAATAAATAGCCCCTCAAAAATAGCCACACTATTAGTGCTGCCGCCAGAATCGCAGAATTTTTACACGGACGTTTTACACTTATTTTGACATTTCTTGCACGTTGTTCACTTGCATTTCGAATTTTCGATCATGAAGTTGTGTAACGTGAATAATAATAGGCTTGTGGGAGACTGACATCTGTAAATGTTATTAGACTGTTATGTTAATCGTCACACTTGCTTCGAATATGTCAACTGAAATCCCACTCGGAATAAGTACCACCCATGCTTTTGGAAAATCTTGCCAGTAACACATAATATTATTAATATTTCATTATCAATCAACCTTCAACACGTATTGTTAACACATATATGCTCAGCAATAATATATATGTTGGTGGAAATATCGATGTCGGTACAGGCTTCTGGAATGTGTCTGATTTTTGTTTACATTATTGACTTTAATGAACAAGCGGCCTCGCCCTAGGACATATGTAAATTTCAGATATTTTTCAAAACAGATTTATGATACCGCCGAAGCTGTCAGTTGGCGGGTTCGAATAATACGTTGGAACGTATTGTCTGTTATAGTTTTCATAAATCAAGAATGGTTTTTAAGTGAACAAAGGTCGTGTTCTAGTTTTCACTGGTGCAGTGCACTGGTGGTGCAATGTTCATTTCTCTGTAACTGATACAGTCTGAGTCTAAGAACTAGTAATTTTGTGTTTCCAATTTTATCCAAAAAAATTTACGTATGTATTTAACTCTTGTTTCACAACATCAACATGTTTTGATAATGAAAGGAAACCGAGATAGGTTTCATTAAAACTGAGTACATATTTAATAATTTTCTCTATTTTCAATTTGACAGTTTTCATACTAACTTGTATTATTTGATACGAAAAAGTGCCTCTGAGGGCAACGATAGTCTGAAAACCTAGTCACGTTACACTACTTAAGTCACACGGTTACAAAGAGTAGTAATTCTTTAGAACGTAAAGTTTTGATTTTTCAACTGGAACATCTTTCTAGACTAGTCTAAAGTTCAGCAAACCGTATCTATTTTATATACGTTTTTACGTTTTAACAAGTTTTCATAACTCGTAATCTTCATCAAAATGTAGTTGATTAGTTTTTCACTCCATCTTTAAGGAATTCTGTCTTATTTTAGAATTATAGTTGGATGGTGTGGATATTTTTAAAATTTTAACTTGCACTCTGTTGGCCCGAAGATGATCAAAAAGATACAAATTCCTAAAATATCTAGAAAGAGAAATTACAAAAAAACTGCGTGGAAGATTTAGATGTTAAAATGAAGAGGATGAAAATAAATATTATCCAGAAAAAGATGATAGAATGTGAGGGATTGTACAGCAAAAAGAGTGAGTCAGTAGAAAACATATATAGTAACTAAATGTACAGAGCTGAAACAACGGAATGAAGAAAGAAAAAAAAATGTAATGAAAATGCTAGATAAGTCGTATGGATGAAGAAGGTAAATAAATTACGAAAAGAGAGGATTGAGAGTCAGGAAAAGCTAAATTTATTAGTACTGTAAATTTCTAATACTGAATATATTTTGTAGGACACAAATAAGCTATTTTTTACCAGTAGAGGCTGCTCTTTGTAGCTTTTTACTCTTTACTATTTTAAACAATGTAACATGGCTAGACTTCGAGACTTTCACGTGCCCTCATTTTAATATTGATTTTAGGATTAAGAAAATAATTTCGGAAACTGTTTAAAATAACTATTAAATTTTAGATCATCATTAAAATTGTTTAGTCTCTCTAATCAGAATCACACTACACTGGTATTTTTTAATTAACAGTTAGAAAACAAGTCGTCAGACGAGAGAAATCTGTATTTTATGGCTTCTATTGTTTGTACTTCGTAACCTTTTTTATTTTTAAACAAAAATTGATATTTTTAATATTCTGGGGAATTTTGTCATGGTTGGTACCACGTTTGAAGTTTAAGTTTTCACAACAATAATTTATTATTAACAATGTGTGAAGCTGAAAAGTACACCCACAATTTATTGGCAAATAAATCTTATTCTAGGTATGAAAATATAATTTCGTTCTTTTGACGTTTATTGCGTTTGCTATTTTACAGTGGCATTTGTAGTGACTACCAATCTTGAAAACATAAATTACACCAGTTCCGAAACTCCACTCAGTTATTAGAGCACTCAATTTGGGTTCTTTAACAGCTCAGGTATACACGGGAAGTAGAAAAAATGCACTACTGGTTTACATTTTCTGCTGCTTCCGAACTTGCATTTATTTATTTATTTTAACGTAATTATAGAAAAGTTCAGTAAAATGAAGTAAAATCCGTCATCGGTTAAGAACGATATGACTGAAAGGCTTATGGAATGATTTTTCAGAATCATATCAGTAGTTAGAAAAATATGTAGATTTCTTCTTCACTAATAAAGCAATAAATTAATGATCACAGATTTTCTTGCAAACAAGAGGGAATCATTATGGTACTAGTCGTGAAGAGTATCACACGAGGCGTAAGCCGAGTTTGATAATACGACGTATACCATAATGGTTAGTCACAAAATTTTATCTGCTAGCATACATTAAGAAAAAGTTATCATTTTGTGATGAATTATTTTTTAAAGCAAAAAATTGGTCTAAAGTTATTTTATTCCCTCGCTCCTGGAGTATAGTCCAACAAGTCCCGTTTCTGTCGAAGATTATAAAATTAGATTTTGCGATTTTTTTGTGATAACTTCTATAAATTAAAAAAAAATATTAATGAATTGATAAACTACAAGAATAGGCTTAAAAGGTTTTATATGGGGTATATCGAAGAAAATTTGGTGATGGTGTTATCAATTTGGGGGGAGGAGGGAGCTAAGGTTTATAACGTTTAATCTTAAAATGTTTCGGTTCGGTTTTTCACTTCCAAAGTTAAATTGTAAAATGTTATACAATTTTGATTTCTTTTTCAAAACATCTGGATATCAAGATTAAAAACACAACACGGATTCATAAATCACATATGTATGTTACGTTTCAGAGTTAAATTGTAAAATGTTGCTATATAATTTTGACTTTTTTTTTAAATTATAGATGTCTCTGGTAAGAACTGAACACGGAATCATAAACCACAATTGCAGGAGTATGTTATTTTGTTAAATTAAATTTTTATTAAACATTTATTGGGCTAAATTATATGATGGCGTAATCAATTTTGGGATGGGGTAAACCGACAAATTTTTATTATCGTTTTAGCATGCCTCCGATAATTTTGAAACGTTCCTAAGAGTTCAGATTATTCGGTTTTGCAATTTAAAAGTTGAATTGTAAAATATTTTTTTACAATTTTGTTTTTTTTTCAAAAATCTCGATGTCTAAGTTAAAAATCTAACACGGATTCATAAATCACATGTGCAAGAATATGTTATTTTATAAATTTAAACATTTATTCTGCAAAATTTTGTAATGAGGTCATTAATTTTTTGGAAGCGGATAAACTAATGAATTTTGATTATTGATTACCATGATTTCGATAATCTTGTACAAAACGTGTACAAAATGTTGTTGTACATGTACAAATGCAATCATTTAAATTTTTAAGTTGTGATAATTTGTGTTAGTTATACAAACTCCGAACCAAAGATGAGCTATTTGAACTCAAGTTTATGGCCTGACTTCTGATATACCTACGTAGAACAAACAGCTGAAGACGTAATTTCTTTCCTTTTTCAGGAAAAATCACGAATATAGCAAGAGATTGTAAATATTCAATCGTTATGAAACATGGTGTATTACTAAAATTTCAAAAATATTACACAAGGTTTTGCTGACATCTATCAAGAATATATGGCCAAAATTCTTCAAAATTCAGAATGTTTACGCCCGCACACACCCAATGTTCTAAATTAAGTAACTAGAAGCCGTCAATATCTATTGTTTCAACCAGAAAGTACCGAATAATTTATGATTATACGGGTAGTTAGTTGCCGCAACTATTATTACACAAGACCCAACATTTCCGTTTCCGTAACTAAGGCAATAGGTGACAACTTTTACTGAATAGTTTATGTTGAATTTAATTACATTCTAATTTTAAAACATCTTATGTTTTTTGGATTGTCAAATTATTTTATTTATTTTATTATACATATTTATATTATATTATATTATAACCAATTAAAAATATAATAACACCACAGACAAAAAATAAATTCATTACAATGGTAACAAGGACAGCAATTTAATTTTAAATATTTGAAAGTTCAACAAATATTGTTTAGTTACCACCAGCTGCTAATTTTACGACTTTTAGAGTCACAGTCCACATGTAAACTGTCTGTTTATTTAAGTATAATAAATTTATTACATAGAATATGATTTGTGGTTTAAACATTTACATCTTTCATCCACGCTTTAAGCCTCTAGTTAATGTACTTCTTAATTGAAACCACCTTCATGTTATTTGTTACAGAACGTAAATGAAATTTCCATACACTGTTGTATTTATGTAAATGTACTGATGCATTGATTGAGTTATTGAACTGCCATTAAATGATACAAAAACTCTCTTTACTATGAATAAATTCCTTTCTAAAATTATGGATCATTTCTTTCACGCGTTCATATCTTGATAAAAAATTCTGAGCAGTAGTTAACAGTTATAAATCAGGTATAGATAAATCATACGATCGTCTTTCGTTGCTATTTATTATTCCTGCAGGTAAAGTCTAAATGCATGCATCACAAATATTTTTAAAATTCTCAGGTGAGGTATAAAACCTCTGCCTGAATTTTAATGAAGCGTCAAAATAGCTGAAAATTTATTTACTGTACATAAACTTGTTTATCAATCTCACTCCCAAGAATTTTAACATTTGCAATAAAATGACTTGACGGAGAGGTAGATTAGATAGTTTGCTGAAATCGCATTATTGTTGGACAGGACATAATTGTGCACTTGGCTTTGCATTAAAACAAATAGGCTCATAACTGTTATAGGTTGACTATATATAATATAAAGCAGTAATCATAAGATTAAATTGTCGTACAGCTAAATGATTTATAGTAGCTCGAAATTGCAGATAAAATCTGAACGGCTAAAGAATTATACTAATTACCACTTGTAACTAGGCAAGGAATGAACAATCTTGTTTATGAATTTTAAAATTAAATATTCTTATAAAATATAAATAAGATATGAAAAACACAAATCAAAGCAGTTAGAGTCTCTAGAGACACATGCCAGATCATAAACTTAACATTATTGTCACCTGGCAGCAGTAAAACCTCAAGAATAATCTTTTAACTTTTATTGTGCAATTTTTTAGACGAAAATATACTAACACTTACAGTATTTATATGGTGTATAATTTATAGCTTTATTTAATTCTATACAAATTCATTTTATAGTAGAACGACTGATAGCTAAATACATCCCTTCTTTGTGCTTCTTTTGTTAATTTTAATCAGTGAAGTAAATATTTAACTAACAATAAACCATTCTTCTTGTTATAAGAAAGAATATTAAAGATTTCCATAAAAAATGTAAAACTACAAGAATTTTTATTAAATATCCTTAATCCGTTCAAGAGTTAAGCTAATAAGTGCAAATTGCAGTCACAACGAGCATTTTAGAACTTGTTTTTCTCGTTTCTTGAATTTTAATAATACAAAACATCGGATTCAGAGTCTAGTTACATTATCGTCAGACCACTAAGACAAACGTTTAAAAAATAAACTTTCACGACTTATTTTGCAAATCATTCGACTCCCTAGAATGATGATACGTTCTTTGATAATAAAAATTACCTTCTCTTCAATACCTTCTAGACGCCTTGTCTAATGAGGTAGTTTCATATTCCAAATGTACAGTTATTTGCACAAATCACCTATTTAAATGAAACCATCTGGTCATTGCTGTCATTACTCTCGTTAAAACTAGTAATAATAATTAGCAAACGACTTCAGAACCGCTATACTTACCTTAGGTCTTTTCCAAGTGAACTGAAAAGGCGGGGTTTGATGGTAAAAAACCGATGCCTGTGTAGCGGGAAAATCTGGGTCCTCCCAGAGCTCCCCACATTTTAAACAAGCCCTCCTTATGCGATCGTATTCGCTCATGCCCTGTAACAAGAAAACTTTTTTTATTAAAAGTGGACTATTAATTAAAAAATGAGAAGAAAGATACTACGACGGCAAGTGGTTATAATGTCGTTAAACCTGCAGCTGTTTCCAATACACATTTAGTTAATACTTTTGGGATGACCCAAATTTTTTGATGATGCCGCAGAGTAATCTATAAGCGTGCGTACCTTGCGCTGCAAACGTTAAGGCCAGGAGTTTACGTTGACAATTATTGTTCTGAAAATTTGCGTTAAAGCTTATGGCCATCCTTAAAATAAATGTACATGTAAGTATGGGGAAATCAGTAAATAAGTGGCCAAAATAATGAAGGAATCTGATACTAGGGCATAAAGATCTGAACAGTAGTAAAGATGGGAGTTTTGATTATTCTCCACATATCCGACGATACCGTATTTGGAGAACGCGAACCGAGATTGAAGCAAATGAGACAACTATAGATGCTGTGGCGGAGCACGAGTCAGATGTTGATGATAAATGCAGATGTAGATTATGATACAGAACAGATCGATGTAAAACCTTGTCACGACACCAACAAAAGAGTCCCTTAGGACGCGGAGAAGGCAGTAACCACGCAGTGTTAAATAATTGCAGCAACGAAGAAAACGTAAACGCAGCTGAACGATATAGACCTTTCAAAAAAACGGATGAAATAGAAACGGGGCAACAATTAATACTAAAATCGGCACCAAATATCGAACTTGTCACTACAGGCTCGGAATTCAAGGAAGTGGGTGAAACTTACAACGGAAACACAGTTTTGAAACCGCTGGTTTCTTCAAATAGAACAAACGGGCAAACTAAGGATAGTACCTTTATGAAAATAATGTACACGTCGTTTCAGAGAATTCGGCCGACGTTGGACAAGTTCTCGAGGTTCGAAAATGCAATACACAACCAATGGAATAAAACGAAGGAAAACCACGACTTCGACGCTATCTTAACAGGTCCGGTTTTGAAAGTTTTGCCAGTGAAACAAAATAGTTTGTTTAGTTTTCAAGATAAACTAGATATCTCCAGTCAGGAATCAAATTCTAAAGCAGTGCACTCAAACAGCCGCTCAAATAGTCCAGACGATATGACGCTTCTGGCTTTGAATATATTAATGACTTTTGGAACTTTTATGGTGGTAGTGTTCCTCCTCCTCATGATGTTCGCGTTCCTCGCGGTATTCTGAAAAAAACCAAAAGCGCAGAAAGAAGAACTACCGCATCATGTTTCATGAAAAAAGCACTTGTGATAACGAAGACAGCAAACTGAGAAGTGGCGGTGTTCTAGTGCTGAAAAGTGTTCGGATGGACGAGAATTTAAACATGAACCTAGAGTGTTGTTGAAGCGTAGACGCAATATAGAAAATGCTTTGAAGAAAATGTTGAATAAAACGCCAACGTTGAAGGTAGATTACGACAAGGCTACTACTCACATTAACGACAAGGACGTGATGCGGTGTATTTCACCTCCTACGCTTTCGTTTATTGTCAAGGAACCAAATAGTCACAATCCAGGTAAAGTAAAGTCTTTTAACGATGCTTAAAAAAAACATGGCATCTTGTTGCAACCAATTAGCCGAAGAATTCACTAAGTTAAATTGCAACTTCGTTGAAGACAAAGCGTTGAATTTAACCATCACAGAACTTCCTCGTCCTATTGATTCCGAGTCCGAATTTTCCAATTCCCCGACTTTCTTGCCCAACACGGACCAACTGGTTCAACATTGCCTTGAAGAAGCAACCAGCGAAACTCCAGAAGTCGTCGAAAGAAACTCCTCTTTGCTTTGCGATAATTCAAATTTTTACATGTCAAGCACTTTAGCTGATAACTTAAGTCAAAATTTATGTAACGTAGATACAGTCAAAACCGATGCAGCTCAATGTGGTATTAAAGATGATAATAATTCAAACTCGGGTGTAAATGTAACAGCTACTGTAGATAATTCTTTGTTGCAATTGCCAACGGTCGTTCCAGAATCCTACGATTTTAAAAATGAAGTGTTTTCAAAAATCGATGGGCAAGATTTCAAAGATTTGTATGGCGAGATGAGACTACCTCTAAAGAAACGGAAACTTTCGATTGCCAATAATAACGAAAGCGTGACTGAAGAACTGAAGAAAGAAGAAATCAGCTATCCGGCAACTCCGATGATCAGCAAAGCGGAAGTCGAAGCTTTGCATCCTAGGAAGTTGGAGGTTAACACTGCACGTCCCTTTAAAACGGCTATCGAAAGGAAAGAAATCCCTGCTCTACCTGTTTTTTTATAATGTACACTCTGATCCTAGTCCTATTATTATCACAGATCAGTTTTAATCACATTTATAATAATCCTACTATACATTATCACATGAATAATGTTCCGGTACCATTTATTAATATACCTTGTGGGTCGTATTATTCTTTATCCCTATTATAGTATCTTTTAATAACGTTTCTACGTTTGAACAAAGTAAACTGAATACGTAGCAGCAAGAAAACTATGGGAAGAAAGAAAATAGGAAGCAAGGAAGACGAAGACGTCAGTAATTTAGCATATTTTGTTTTTCAAAGTAATTTTATTCCATATAAGCATTAACATTTTTTTTATTTTTCCTCAGTATTCAATATCTAGTAGTTATTTAACAGGTTGTGAATTTTTAATCTCCTTAATTTATTAATTTGTTTATTAATGGTTATTGTTTTTTAATTTTATTATTTATGAAGAAAGAAGTCACTACAAGAAGAAAGATTGTTATTATGCAGAATAACATCATGAGCGAACCTGTAATACGGAAAAAAAGGTAATATTTTTCTGGGCTCATTTTCCTTACTATTGATCGCAATCATTAATAAGTGTTTTTAATGCATTTGAAATGTACAGATATTAGTTGCGAAATTGGTCTTGTTCGAATAAACTAACTTTTACTTCCCGAGCGTAAGCTACAGTACGGAAAAAATAGTCTCCCGTTTCCGTCTTTCGGTCTGTCTGTCTGTCTGTCTGTCTGTATCCATTTTTATTAAACACGTAATCTCCGAAACTACTGGACCGATTGTTGTCAAATTTTATATACATTTGTAGTATAGAACTCCGCTTTCAGTTTTTTCGCTTAACGTTCAAAAATCCGCAAAAACAATTGCATGGTACAATAACGTTATCTTTGTTTTTTTTTAATACATAAATTTTTCTTTCAACAACAGGTTAGTTAAACATGTTTCCAGTTTCATTTTGGGAAAAGAAGACTTCCTGTGTTAAGAAAAAATGGACGAAATATAAATCCCGCCCACCCACCCCTTCTCGATTGTGCGGAATTTACTTGCAAAATTCTCATTTCTGTACAAGAAATTATCGTATGAAATATGTTTCTAAAAGGATAGAATTTTCTAGATAAATATTGATGTTACAATTAAACTTCGTATGAATAGGAAATAAAAACTCATCACAATACAGATCGGGGCCGGTGGGTGGGGCTTAATCTTTGTTTTTTTTTTCTTTATACATGTATCTATGTTCTTAACATTTTGTTCGATTGTGGTTTGATTAATAATAATTTTAGTCCTCTGTTTTGAGAAGACAAACTCATTCAAATCAGTAGAGAAATATGTATTTTGCAATTACGCTCCGCCCTTCAGTCTAATAACGAATGAAAAATTCATGACAATTGAGATCGAGGCGGGTGGGTGGGACTTAATCTTTTTTTTTCTTTATAGACATAGTTTTCTTTCAACAATTTTTTGGCGCAAAGAACAAGTGATATTATAATAAAAAACATAAAGTCAACCTAATATTCAATAATGTTGGACTGTTCTCCTAATGCAAGACTCGTATAATAATTTGTCTCATTTTTCTCGGAAAAATAAAGAAATGAAAATCTGAAAAATCTAAAAATTGAAAACTCGTGAAATTTCAAATCGAAAAACTGGAAAATATGTATAAAACCTGAAACGTCCAAAAATTGGAAAAACTGAACACTCGAAGAGATATGGTAAAATTAAAGAAAAAACAAAACGAATAGTTGAAAAATTGCAAATTGAAAAACTAACGAAACGAAATTTGAAAAAAAGTGAAATTGAAAAAATTATAAAATCGGAACAATGAAAAATAAAAAACTGAAACGAAAAATTGCAAATGGAACCATTAAAAATTGCAAACTCGAGGAACTCAAATCGAAAAAATGCAAAATCCACAAATTGAATTAAAAAGTTGAAAAATTGAAAAATTTTAACTTGAAAACTCGAAAAAATGAAGCCAAATAAGCTGCGGGAGCGTCATTTACGCCACTAGTTTTTACTTTATAGGGGTTATCAGAAAACAAAAATCGCAAAAAAAATTATAATTTTTCAGAGAAGTGGGATTTAATTGGCTACACTTTAGTGGCGTGGGGGGTTCTGTTGAAATAACCTTCGACCAAATTTTTATTAACTATTTTAAAGTTTTTGGAGGTGGTAATTAAAAAAACTATGATTTTTTGTTGTACAATTTTTTCTGCTGCGCCCGTGTCTGATAGTGATAAGTTTCGAGTTTTTCCACAAAATCATTTAAGACGAAAGAATTTCTGATAGTAAACGCAATACTTATACAAACCATCCAAAAACTGTAAGATTGAATATAAATATGTATGTTGAAATAATAAGTAGCAAAACAGGAAGTGGCAGTAGTAGTTAACCTATAGGAGTGATGTCATCAATTTTTTGAAGGAGAGACCATGAGAGAAAGAGAGAGACGTAGCTTCGTATTTTGTAAAGAACGGCTTCATTAATAGAAGAATTAAACAATAAAAATTAAAATAATAATTAACAAAATCAAATACAGAAGTATGTTATTTTATAAAATTTAAATAGCATTTGCTATGCCAACTTCTAAGATCGTCATCAAATTGTTGGTGGCCATAATCAGACAAATTTGGGTTAGCGTTTCACCATCTATACGATATTTATTCTAACACACACAAAAATTTCAGAGCTCAGTAGATTCGGAAACGATAAACAGCGGAAACGATATATAGTTTTTCATA